AGAGGATAAAGCTGACACATAATCACGGCAATTTTGAAAACCAGAGCTCTAACACATGATCCGTCCTACCCTTGGAATAATTCGTGTCAGCTCTGTCGTTGAAGCAAAGAGGAAGCAGTATACATTATGAATAGTTATCGCTGGGATACGAACCCGGATCATCTCATCCAAAAATGAACTTTCTCTTCCAGAATAACATTAGAATAACATTTAAAATTTGAGTCCAACGATTCAAATTTTAGAAGATCCCAAACAATAGCGTAACAGACAAACAATGTTTAAAAAAAAATTCTAGATTTTTCGTCCAGCATGGAATTGAGTGATAAGCATGTTTTAATTTATTACTCATTTTTAATTCTAATTACAAGTAAAGCATTTTATATCCGGATATTTTTTTCACTGGATGGATTATAGTAGTTTAAATTAGGAGCAATATCTATGATATTCTCACTGTCCCAAATAGATCTTTTTATTTTTTTTAAATGTTATTTAAATATATTTAATGAAAAAATATAATGAATTTAATAGCATTCAAGTAGTTTAAGACCATTAATATAGTTGAGGAACATTCAAATAGTTATAATAGGATCACTATAGCATTCAATTAGTTAAGAAGTTTAGTTTAAAAAAATTTAAAAAAATAATTAAAGACTATTTTAAAAAATAACCAAATGATTTGTCCAAAAGAAAAACACGTCACTTATTGGAGCACAAAATATATTTATTTACAGGTAAATAATTAAAAAGAAATAAAGGTGTCTCAAAGTTACACAACATGCTATTAAAATAATATTAAATTAGAATTTAGAATTTATATTATTTTTTCAAAAGGGATTACAGAGTTTAAAATTTTTAAAAAAAACTCAAAGAGTATGCTGTTATAAAACAAATTACAGTTACTAAATAATTTGTAGACTCATTGCAAGGGAATTATATTTGTTTCAACACTGCAAATAATTCCGGATCAAATTACAGTATAAAGTACCGTTACTTTAGGTGCATTATCCGTAAAATTCATAATTCCCAAAAATCAATTTTTACTGTAAAATATTATATCGTAATTTATGTCGTAATATTATATCGTAATTTATGTCGTAATATTTATTTAATTAGAGTGATACTGTGACTTCAAGATAATTATTACTGTAAAAATTACGATATTATGTTGTTCCGTGACATGTTCCGGTAAAATTGGATTTTAAGATAAAAAGCATCTGCCCTCTGTATTTTTTACAGCAATTTAATATGAAACTTTTTTACATTCTACTATTTGTACGATATTTTCTGCAATTATTTAGTAATCTAGAGCAACCGACGTTTCACATTAGCCCGCAACCCCTCGAAACTGCTTATGCAGTTCCCTTCAGATTGCCTTTCTATCTGACTTAGCTTCACTAGCTTATTTCACCTTAGTCTTATTCAATACCAATGATCTTATACTTTAACTTCCTTCATGTTGCCTTTCTATCTGACTTTGCTCCACCAGCTTATTTCACCTTAGTCTTATTCAATACCAATGATCTTATATTTTAACTTCCTTCAGATTGCCTTTCTATCTGACTTAGCTCCACTAGCTTATTTCACCTTAGTCTTATTCAATACCAATGATCTTATACTTTACCTTCCTTCATGTTGCCTTTCTATCTGACTTAGCTCCACCAGCTTATTTCACCTTAGTCTTATTCAATACCAATGATCTCATATTGTAACTTCCTTCAGATTGCCTTTCTATCTGACTTAGCTCCACTAGCTTATTTCACCTTCGTCTTATTCATTACCAATGATCTTATACTTTAACTTCCTTCATATTGCCTTTCTATCTGACTTAGCTCCACTAGCTTATTTCACCTTACTCTTATTCAATACCAATGATCTCATGCATTAACTTACTTCATATTGCCTTTCTATCTGACTTAGCTCCACTAGATTATTTTACCTTAGTCTTATTCATTACCAATGATCTTATACTTTAACTTCGTATATGTAACCCTAATTATATGACCTAATTATATATTATATATATATAACCCTAATTATTCAAATCCAAAACGAAAACAGACAATTTGTTCACGCTATCTTCCAAAAACTGGGGGAAAAGTCTTTTTTTTTTTTTCCTTCGAAAAAAAAACGAAAACAAACTTTAAAATTGTATGAGCTGAAAAGATTTTAAAAAGAAAATTTAAAAATTCCGAAATTTTAAAAAGAGATATTGCTATCTTTAAAGCACTTGAGTGCTTTTACTTGGTGCACTTGATAAGTGCACTTGATTACAAAAGATTATAATTTTGCTGCTATTAGTTTCTTTTACATTATAAAATCTGTAAATCTGAAAAGGAGATATTTAATAACTGTAATTCTGCTTATTTAAACAGAATACTCCTATTGCAACATTAGAATATGCAAATATTTTTATCCTCCTGCTAATAGAAGTTCGCTAAACTTAAGCCCTAACCTAACCTTAAAAAAACCTTAAACCTTGACGCATAATTACTCAAAAAATAGTGATCGCGGCATCAAAATTTTCGCATCGAAGTGTCCCGTAAATTTCTCAATAAAAGTGCTAAATTTCATATTTTATTTTCATCCATTAGCTTTTGCGATTTGGGCTGAAAAAAGCGTGCTACAAAAAATTTTCAAAATAGTGCTTTTTTTTCTTTTTCTTTTTTTTTTTAAATAACGAAAGATTTTGCATTTTTAGATATGGTATGGGGAAGAGTTTCAATAGATACTTTTGCACAATTTTATTCGGAAAAAAAGACTATTCATTTTTAAATCGTGAATGTCTCTGAGAAAGCACTGCCCAGGAAAAAAAGAAAGCTTTGATTTATTTATTTCAGCTTATTTAATTGAAATAATTTTGCTCATTATTGAAAATGAAAACAGTATATTTTCTTGAAGTTACTTAATCGAATTAAAGTTACATCATAATTAAAAAAAAGGCACTGCCCTAGAAAAAAAAAAAGAAAACTATGATTTATATATTTCAGTTTATTTAATTGAAATAATCCTGTTCATTATTGAAAATGAAAACAGTATATTTTCTTGAAGTTACTTAATCGTATTAACGTTACTTCATAATTAAAAAAAAACGAAGTTTGCAAACAGCTATACTAAAACTATATAAAACTTCCTTAAACTTTTCTTTTTGTGGTGTTTGCATTATTTTCTATCTAATCAATAAAAATTAACATCACGCTAAAATATTGGTCGCAGAGCAATATTACTCTCGATCGGCGTAAAAGCAGCTCATTTAACATATTTAATTCTCAAAATATATAAAAAAAAATATTATCATAGTACTTTATAATTATCTCATTCCCATGAGTATTCAAAATTTGCTAGTAACCTACAAAAAAACGCTTATAAATAGTCGCTTTATAATTTCAAAACATAGCTCCAAGAGTTAAATTTAGTTATTCAATAGTTATTATCCCGATAAAATTTCCGAGTGTCTGGATGTTATTGATGGTCTAATATCTGGGTATGAAGTTTAGAATGCATTGAATTTTACTAATGGAACTGCTTAAAATAATTAACCGAATGATGCTTCATTAAAAAAATTTATAAAAAAAAAAAATTGTGAAATATAAACAATAACTCAAGCAAAACCATTGAATAAAGTATATATCAATTTTACTTTAAATTATGTTTTTTGAATATTTTTTTTTGTATTGAATTTATATAATGTTGACGCCTGGTGGCTGAGCAGTAGCGCTTCTCGCTGTCGTGCCACAGGTCCCTGGTTCGATCCTCGGGCAGGGCAAGTCAGTCTTTCATCCCTTCACCTTTCATCCCTAACTCAGCCTTTCATCCCTTCAGTGGGTCGATAAATGACTACCAATCATGCTTGGGAACTAAACACTGGGGGTTCCGCGTTCGGCTGACCACCTGACCGGAACATCTGTTCCTGCACCCCAGAGCCTAAGGTCAAGAAAACTGAGATGGGCACAGTAGGCCTTGGCCCTCTATGGGCTGTCGCGCCACTGAGTTTAGTTTAGTTTAGTCTATATAAAGTCACTTGACAATTAATTGAAATGTTTGCAATTTTTTTTCACTCGATTAGTTTGAAACTGAGTCGTGAAATCTGTGATGTAATCGATCTGTATAAAAATTTACCTTCGTTTCAACATAGTGTGATGCACAATTTTTTGTAAAAACCATCCTTTAATTAAAATTTTTGCGTCACCATTATTTTTCACTCATTTCATTTTCTTATTTTTAATTGAATCAAATACTTAAAATGATTCACTCCCATCATAGGGAATTTTGCAGATTTCCCCTAATTTTTGTTACACTGAACAGAAAAATAGGAAAATTGATTTTGTAACCGATTCACTTGCATTAAATTATATTAATTTATAAACAAACTTATTTTAATATATTAAAAATTCAGTTATTAAAAGGCCGTTGGCCTTTGATTGGTCTCTTAAGACGATTAACGAACTACAAACATAAACATTTACTTTGCTACACGAGCCACGTGGATCAGACAACTCTTACAAGACTTAACATCCCAAAAACCAAACTTCATTACCCGGGAAAAATTATATTTTTTCCAACCCTTCAGACACAGAAACTGAATTTCGATTTATAGCTTCATCGATTTTTTTTTTAAAAACAAACTGTTTCGAAGAAACTTCATGATTTGTTTTGTTTTTAATTTTTCTTCCGGACGCTACCGGATAATCTTAGCCAGGACTGACGTCAGACCTGTGGTCTGGACAAATCGATGACAACATGGGTGTCTAATCCTTCATTTTCCGTCATCTGCAGGAACTTAAGAGCGACTGATATTTTCTGGTGAGATATTTCCGAATGTTTGTTTTAAAGAACAAAATGTGTTTGACATTTTTTTTTAATGCAGAAGGATTTTCTGGGAATTAAATGAATGACGTCATAGAAAAGTATACAGACAAATTGAATAACGGAACTATAAAACTGAAGATCTAAAGGAGCTGGCAACACGAAGCCCTTAAAGATCTTTGCCAGATTTCAGCACAATGGTTAAGGTAAGTTAGAATCAGTCAATTGCACGAATAGGCTTTAAACCTTTTTGGCTTCTAAAATTCAGAACCAATTCTAGTAAGTTAATTAGAAATAGTTGATAGGCGAATTCTAATTTATAAAAAGAAGTTTTTTCGAACATTTTTCTAAGAAAAGTTACATACTTATTAGTTTTAGAACTTTTACCCTTTGACACAGAATTTTTGTTAAACAGATTTTTTATACTTTTTCATCTTTTTGTATTAGTTTAGATCAAAATTAGTGAAAAAGTATCGATTCAACACTTTAATAATTTATGGTTAGGAAATGCAGCATAAAACACCGGTGTCATTTTGAGAGTTAAAGGTAAAATCTAAAAAAAACACGGCTCACTTCCAAACAATGATTTTTCAATAATTCATAATTATTTGATCTAAGAATAATAGTTGTCCATCATTGAAATTGCTTTAATTCATAAAATAATGATTTATCAATAATAATTAATAATTAATTGTTAATAAATTTTTGGAATCTGAATTTTAAAAAAATAAATTATAACTACGTTTTACGGATTTCATTACAAAAATTATTGCGATAATCTAGCAAATTTGTTTTAGTAGCTATTAGACAGTTTTTTACAATTAAAAACTACGAAATATACTTTTTTGTGATTAAAGAGTCAGCAAAAAATATATAAAAGTGACACCTGTGTCCTATCTACGTCAAAGGATTAGATTTTGCTCTTTCAAGTAAATTTCAGTACAAATAATCATTTACCAATACACATTATTCATCTATGAATTCTTTTATTGCCTTAATTTCAATTTCTTGAGAATTAGTTAACAAATTATATTAATTTTATTATCATCTTATAGTATTGTATAAAATAATATTTGCTTTTTTAGATCTTGAAGCAAAGAAGATCCGATAAACTAGTTTGAAGCACTTCTTAAAATTTAATTCAAATATTCAAATTTTATTTTAGCATAGTTTACATGCTTGAATGTTCTTTTGAGTTGTCAAGGGAATAAAGATTTTAATCTATGAATATATTAAACATTTTTATATTCACATCTTTAAAATTTCATGTGTGAGCTTTTAATCACAATAATAAATAAGTTTATAAAATAATAAAAATAAAATTATTATACATAAAATATTTGATTTATTACTTAAGCAATGCGCAGTTAGTGATACAATAAAATTATTACATAAATTTCTTTGGATAAATAATACAAATAAAAACATTACAAGCTTCAATTTACCATAACAGTTATGCATATATTTTTGAAAATAAATTTTAGTAGAAAAAATTGTTGTATCCGTATCTGAGTTTATTATTCTCAGCTCCAACTGTAAGTTTATAATAAATTATAATTATTATTTATTTATTACTAATTCGAATCTTAATTAATTAAATAGTTATAAAATTAGTGTCAGATGTTTAATGCTTTTTAAAATAAAATGTTTAATTATCGAAACAATTTTTATACTACTTTTAATTTAAAAAATGTTTTAATTTAATTTTTGATTTCAAAATTTATTAAGTTGAGCGTTTGAATCGGAAATAATTCTTGCTGTTGAAACACTCTTAATTCGACTTTAATTCCGAAATCAGTTTAATTTGTGTAAGTAGTAGATTTTATACTTTTACAAAAATACTTGAAAATACTCTATGAAATCGAAAGAAATGTCTGAGGTATTGAGAGTCAATAAATCTAACAGTCAATAAATCGGAAGAATGAAAAGTTCTAAATAATTTGTTCTTTTTCTTTTCTTTGTACTAATCAGCAACATAATGAAAATAATTCCAAAATTTATCTATTTATCTTTCGAGCATACGGTAAAATATTTGCATTCAAATATTGCATTTAGTAAGTTTGCGAGTATTAAAAAAGCAAGAACGCGTGGCATTGCATTAAAATGATGAATTTATTGAACAAATGAAAGAAAGCTCTAACAATTAAATAATTAAAACTTAAAAAGTGAGGATAAAAATGTAACTTAAAAAATTGAAATTTAATACAATTCTTTTTAAAAATTTATCTTAATTTTATCTGCTTATGTTTTGTTGATGTTTGATTTATTTTTGTCTACAAACCAAAATTAATTTGCGGCATCCTCCACCATGGCATGCTAGTTTTGCGATCGGATTTTTAAGTATATTTAGTATAGACCTATAATAATAGTAATAATAATAATTAATAATAATAATTAATAATAATATTTAGTAATAATAATTTATAATAACAATTAAGAATAATAATTAATAATAATAATTAAGAATAATAATTAAGAATAATTAATAATAATAATTTATTATTATTATTATTATTATTATTATTATTATTATTATCATTATTATTATTAATTATTTATTTAAACCTTATAAATTTTTCATGAAGCTTTTATTCATCAATTTATAATTAAATTCAAATTAATTTTTTGAAAATCTCAGTTATTTGTTTTTTTACTGAATATTTTGAATTAAAATTATTATTTTTTTAGAAACTTGCTCCTATTTCAATGCTTTTGTGCGCTACCATCCTACATTCTACTCTGTCGATGAATAATGCACTTCAGGTACGAGCCTGTGGAAGTAACCTAGCAAATTTACTGCGAGATGTGTGTACAAGATTAGGAGGCTATCCTGAACCTATAAATCAAAAACGAAATACTGAAGTGCAGTCTGAAATCACAGGTATACCATTTAAATAAATATACAATCGGAAACATTGAATGTACGAGGCAAAAATAACAAAATGATGAAATCATAAAATAAAATTCCACAAAATCACAAAATTTTCTACCCCTTAAAAATTAAATTATGTTATTTACACTGTAAAAAATTCTGGATCAAAGTACGGTATAAAGTACCGGCATTTTGGGTGCATTATTCGTAAAAGTCATTTTACCGTAAAATCTTTTTTTAATATTAATATATAATTATTTAATAAAATATTTATTTAATAAAAGTTATTCTTATTTAAGTAATATTTATTTAATAAAAGTTATTCAATGATTTTACTGTTATTACTGTAAAAATTATGGTGTATCAAATTTTTATTCAGCAGCTTATTCCGGTAAAAATGGGTTTTATGGTAAAAAGTACCGGCATCCTGAGAGCCGATACTGTTTCCCTTAATTTAAACCGGAAATTTTTACAGTGTAGATGTTAATTATAAATTGTGGACAAATAAAAAAAATAATAAGTGTTATTCATTGTTAATAATAAGGTTTTTTATATAGTATTAACTATACTATGTGTACAGATACTACATATCTATACAGATACTATATAACTATGCTATATTAGAGGAAACATACTAATATATTTACTCTAAATTATACTACTTCTCTAAATATATTAACTCTCTTCTACGGATGTATAAAATGAAAAACTTGTGGGGAAAATTGCGATTAAAAATAAAATTCGAGTTTTGATATGCTTAAACTTGAGTTTTTTTTACTATTATTCTCATGACATTAAATTCAAATTCGTAGCTGTAAGTAACACTGTTTGTCCCAAATCAACATAAGCAAAGATATAGACATAATGCACAAATCGACGTAGATACAGTGCAAAGATTGACTAAAATATCCTTTTAGTAATTTTGCAAGGATTAATCTTTTTTATCTAATAAACTTTATTTTAAAATTAACTACCAGTGTAAAAAATTATACATAATAAATTAATATTATGAAGGCATTTAAACTACTTGGTACAACCATAAATATCATATACTTTATACATTCCAAATTTTAAATCATAAAACTACATTATCATAAACTCCGCTGAGGAGGATCAGAATTGCAATGGAATGTCTTCGGATCATCCCCCAAGGATGTCTCCCAGACCGTCGCCAATAGCCTATTGTGCAGCTCTAGTGCGAAGTAAATAAAGTACCTACCATAAAACTAAACTTTTCTCGATATATCATTAAAAAAATTACCGTCGTTTCTCAGTTTCGTGCATTTCTATTGAGTGACATTCTATTTTCGTGCATTCCAGAAAGATCACATGATATGATCATAAGTAAACGTAGAAACACGACTCCATTAACTTTCCCTTAGCTTAAAGTCATCGGAATTGGTTACGTGCAAGTGACGTCATCGTGGTATTTGTCGAGTCAGAAGCCAATCGGGTTCAACACACAAGCGTGACGTCGCTTGCAGGTATCCAATTGTACTTTATTTTAATCACATGGTCAGGACTAATCACTTCACTTCTTCTCTGTTGCAAGTACCCAAATAATTAAAGTTTTATCGGTATTTAACTATATATTTTATATTTATCCCTCATTTAATGGTTCTTACTATCAATATTCATCCGTCATCCATTTTTAATATTAAACTCAACTATTATTGCTTTTTTTTTCTATTTTGATTTTTATTCAAAATTAATGGCTTAGTTCTAAAAGCGTTGTTTCTTTAAAGTAACCACGTGATCCTCGGTCATTACACAGCACTTTAAGACAGCTGTATTTAGGTACCGTTTTACAACTATTAAATGAGAAATAAGTTATATTTACTTTTTTATAAGCTACATTTACGTTTTTAAACAGTGTTTAATGATTTTAACACAGTTATGAGAAATGTTTAATATATTGACCTCACCAATATTTTATTTTTATATCAAAAAGATTTTCATTTGGATTAGCAATTTAAATATTATTTATTAACTTTAGCGATTTTATCGATTTAGGACCAATGATATTCCAACTTCAAAAAAAATATATAATTTATTGTACATGAGAGTAATTTGTAATAAAAAGAGCCAAAGATATTGAATGAAAATAAATGGAGTCTTCATTCATGTTTAAGAGAGGAAAACTATGTCAAACATTGGAATATAAATTCTTTCTTAAAACAATGAGCACTAAAATGCTTGAAATAATCGGGTTTCTGGATGAAATTATATCCATTAAAGCCATGCATGGATTCCCATGAATGAAAAAGTTTCCATACGTTCTACGCAGTTCTGAGTAGCTCTTTTTTTTTTAATTTTGAAAGAAAACTTTTAATTTTAAAATAACTAATCAAATTAGTTTGACAAGTTTATAATATTAAAATATAAATAGGTGTGTTCGATTTGATCATTGCGGTGTAAAGGAGTAAAAAAATAGACACGGTATTAACTTTATTTATATTGCTGTCATCATACTTTGAAAAAAGTCAAAATCTACCGGAATATGGTAATATTAGCCGTATTAAGAAAATAAGTGTCGTAGAAATTTTAAAACAGACTTTCAATCTAAATGCGAAAATATTATTGAAACGGAACACATCGTAATACATTTTCATACAACTGAACAGAGGAGGAAAGGGAAGGGGGAGGCTCTGATGACGTTTTCAAGTGTTGCAATACGAAAAAAAGTACCATGTTTCTGGATTTAAGGGAACATAAAATAGCTCGGTAATTTTTACCAAAGGGCTTTGGTAATGACCTTGGTAATTTCAAAATTAAAATATGGTTTTATAATGCTTGAGAAAACTTGGTATAAGAAGGAAAAATTTGGTAATGTTATAATGATACCTTGATGCAAAAAACATTTATCCGGTTAAATTTAGTTTTCAGTTTCGTATTTTTTCTAAATGGGTGGTAATAATAATTATAATTTTGAAAATCAGAATTTTCTGTTAACTTTTACCAGCTGAACCATATATTTTGGTTTTGTTAATCAGAATTATGGTGTGTGTGGTCTTTTTTTTTATTACCGAAAATATCATTACAGAAGTTTTACCAAAAGTTTTTTATCCGTGAACTATTTAATTTTTGTTTTATTTTGTTCATCGCAATTGCTACTAGAGTCTTTATTATCGCTATCAGCAGATTTTTTTAATAATTTTTACCTTTTTTTTCCTCCTCCAAGCTGTGGGCATGAACCTAGGTCATTACGGACCCTTTACCATATAGCCCAAAGCTTGGCTACTGGTCCGGCTCCACCCCAGCCTAGGAACGAGCCCTGTCAGCGGGAAGATAATTTTTACTATACTGTATGAGTTTACAATATTCTGGTTGTTGTTGTCGTTGGTCATTAAGGCAAGGGGGCAATTGTTATTGTTTTCCAGTGGCGCCATCTATGGCCAAGAATTCGTTTTCTGCCACACCCATTCGTCACACCAGTTTTTCAGGCGGACCCATTCATACATGCATCCATTCATCTACAGATCGTAATTTTGACCTGAACCAGAGAACGTTCAGTCTCCAATTCAGTACCCCTAGAGATATAATTTGTTATGGGAGCATGGAGCGCTTTGTGACTCGACAGATTTAACATGCACCAGTCACCATTTACTACACGGGGAGTCTTCGACTGGCTGGATTCGAACGAAGAGTCCAGTGCCCTGCCAACCAGGCTACCCCGGCCCATGAATTTACAATAATATTACATTTTTTTAATGAATTTTAGAAATACCTTTTAAACATCATATAATTAATAAAATAATAAAATAATTTANTTCGAACGAAGAGTCCAGTGCCCTGCCAACCAGGCTACCCCGGCCGATGAATTTGCAATAATATTAAATTTCTTTAATGAATTTTAGAAATACCTTTTAAACATCAGATCTTTATGTAATGAATAAAAATAATTTCTTTCATTTAGATCTCTTCACGTTTCAACCTATAGATGCATTTAGCTATGTTCTTCGCCAAGTACGATCTGGAGGAGTTGCATCCGAGTGCTGTCATCGATCCTGTACTCTGAGTACTCTAGAAGCATACTGCGGGAATAATTAAAATAGAGCATCGATCTAAAGCCTAACTTACTTAACCATACTATTTTTCTATCATAATTTTCAATTCTGCTTAGAGTTGAATTTATATTAAATTTAATAACTTACACATGATAATGGTGTGTCTACATATCATATCTCTACTGTGTTTAATAATAATTGTTTGTATAAATATCATATATATGCACGGTATTTAATATTAATGTTTGTGAAGAGGGAAAAGATAAGCGTTTGTTTTCGTTCTGAACGAAAAGGCGTAGTTAAACTCTATGTCTGACCAATCAAGTACAAAATTGTAAATAAATGCAATGTAAGGCAAAATTTGATGAATGTATTTTATTTTTCTTCTTTTATAATCACTATGCTAATCATAAAATAAGAATCAAGTATACTCAAAATATGTGTTTCAAGAGTTGGAATAATAGGAACTGGCACTCAGGGTGCCTGTACCTTTTACCATAAAATCCATTTTTTCCGTAAAATTTTCCAAAACAAAAAATCTGTTACATCCTAATTTTTTATGTAAAATAATATTTACTATAAAATTACTGAACCACTCTAATTAAATATATATCAATGTAAAAATTAAGGTATAAAATTTTACACTAAAAAAAGTAATTCACGTTAAAATGAATTTTACGGAGGATGCACCAAGAGTGCCAATATTTTTTTTACCGGAATTTGGTAAGGAATTTTTTATTGTTCAGCTCCTCCCTGTCGTATTATTTTGTCCCCTATTCTTTTTGCAATTTTTTTTCTTGCTTTCCTTCATTTCTCGAATACAACTTCGCAAGAAATAATAATAATTAAATGAGCATATACTACAGTGAAAAAAAATTTATCGCCAAAACTACCAGAATACTGTAAAATATAACGTGTTTCCAGCTATATGGAAACACCAAAAAGCCGGGTAAGTTTTACCGAAACTCTTCGGTAATTATTTCGGTTAAATTAACCATAAAATATGGTGTTATAATGTGTGATAAAACGTAGCAATCAAAAATCGGTTATTATTTCGGTAATTATATCATGATTTCTAAGAACATGGCTTAAAAACCATTTATTCGGTAAAATCTATTTTTCAGATTTGCATTTTTCACTAAATAATTGGTATAAAGAACTATAATTTTGAAAACCAGAACTTCCGGCTAGCCGTTACCATATGAACGACAAACTTACCAAATGAATCGTTTATAAATACTATATCTTTTTATTTCGTAAGCAGAATTCTTTTTACCAAAAATGACATTTCCGTAAAGTGCAGTAAATTTACCAGAATTTTTTCTCCATGTAAATATATTCTGTGATTTCGAGGGACTGACAAAACTTAGTGCAATGCATGTGAAATTTTTATTTTCATGTAAAATATTATACATGAATCAATCTCCTTAAGTTTACGAAATCAACGTAGGAACTATAACTTTAAATAATAGGTCCCCAGATATCAATAACCGACTATAAAATTTCGAATGATTGCTCAGTTGTATGTGACACACGAACGGAAAAGTTCAAAACAAAACTTCTGTGCATAAAACCAGAAGCTCTGTCAGCTGAACAAAAGAAGTCAATGATTTTTAATTTTTTACCCGAAGATATTTCACATTATAGATTGTGAACCTACTTTGAGTATTAATATTTATTTTTAGCATGTTGTATTATAATCTTTATAGTTTTTATTGTCACGTGTAATAAAAAGTAACGAAAACATAGTTATTGGTTTTTATTTGTACTTTTTTAAAAATGTTCAGCACCAGAAAATAAGAAATTACTTATTTGAAATTATTTTAATAAAACGGAATGAAATATATAATGAGAATATATAAGGAGAATATATATATGTATTCTCATTCTAAGTCCTATATTTCAATCTATTGATGAAATATATATTTGGATTATTTTCAAAATGGAGAGGCACTTAGAAAGATTTTTCTTAATTAAGTATTCGATTTACATCAATGAATTGATACAAAAATTAAATATTCTTATAAAGATTTTGGTTTCAGTTGAAATGGTTTTTGCACTTGAAATTTCGTAAGGCAGTGCACTTTTTGATTTATATACATAAAATATATTACATAAAATAATATATTACATAATTACATAAAATATAAAGAAATAAAACATTGACTTGAATCTGCAGTTCTTTGCAAATTACTGAGCTTCAATCATACAAAAAATTACTACTCACCTATATTTCTTTCAGTAAACTGAATCCGTAATAAAATACTAAATTAAAAGTTAATAAATTAAAGTTGAAAGAAATCTTTCTCGTGATACTATCTTATATTAAGCTTTAAAAGAAAGACATACAATTTTTTTTAATTATTTCTTATTTTCATTGCTTAAATTTAATTAGAATAATTAGCAGTAGTGCAAATAATAGATAAGGCTAATTTTTAAATTAAAAAAAAATCTTTTTTTAAAATTAACTACCATGAGCATGCTAGCATAGTGGAAGAGTAACAGAGCAATAAAGAAGTCATTTTACATAGACAGGTTTCATTGAAAAGAAGTGTTTATACAAAACTGAAAGGCATAATTTGATATTACCATTAAAAAATCAAATGAATATTAAAACAATAAATTTAAAACAATAATGTTAGCAACAGAAGGGGAACTTAATTATTAAAACAACCTCGCCTAGTCTAAGCTTTATTTTCTTAGAATAGAGCAAATGTAAAGACAATTTTTAAAATGGTTAACTTAGACAATCCAAGAAGAAATTCAAGCCATTTTTGCCAACTGAACAGAAATACTTTTATAAAATACTTAGAGTAACAGAGTGGGAAAAATCCTTGGACAACTTTAAACTGTTTGATTTTTACTCAAAAATGATTTCAAAACTTCCTTTTTGATCAGCTGTGCTTTGTAATACATATAGCACAATTTTCTCAACAAAATAAATTTTTTAAAAAAAAATTTCTATTAACAGCTGGTTTCTTTGCTGTTAAATGAGAGGCAAGGAAGGTTTGGACATAGCAATTTAGCGGTATCGGTCGCATTATGACGGTATTACCCACTCAAGCATTTTTTTTAAAAATACTTATTTTTATCTATCTATATTTATTAAAAACGTATAAGTAAACTAATTTCAATTCGTAAAAATGTTATTTGGAATTTTATTTCAGTTATTAAAAATTTCTTAAAATAATAGGACATCAAATGTACAAGTGTTTCTTCTTTTTTTTATATATAGATAACCGTCGTCGAACAGCCGACCCAATTTTTAAGTTTACGACTGCTATTAATCTACTCGGTAGCCTTGTTACTTTCAACCCTATCCAGAAGACAAGGGAACTCCTGGATCAAGTATCGGGAGAAATTTGTTTTCGTTGAGTACTTTCTGATGGAACTAACCCACATTTGCGTTACATGGAGAGGAAGACCACGAGAACCTCCCACGATTAGCCTGACGGCAAGGGGACTATAATCCGTCTACCACTGAGGATATTTCACGTCAGCACAGTGGTCGGTGCAAGCCGGATGCGGAATTTGTATCGACCAGCCATCGCCGGGATCGAACCCCGGTTCACCTCTTTGGAAAGCGAACACTCTATCCCCTGGGCCATCGCGGCTCAATGTGTTATAACCGTCGTTGAACAGCCGACCCAATTTTTGGGTTTATAACTTCTAATGTTCAACTCCATAGCCTTGTAATTTTAAACCCAGTCCAGAAGACAAAAAAACTCCTGGATCAAGTATTGGGAGAAATTTGCCTTCGTAGAAGACTTTTTGATCGAACTAACCCGCATTTGCGTTACATGAAGAGGAAGACCACGAGAACCACCCACTGTTAGCCTGACGGTAAGAGGTGCTTGGAAAAAGATTCATATATACCAATCTTAGTAGGAGGTGTTTATAAATAGTTTCATGAGCTTAAAAAAGTCATCGAAAAGCTGAGACGCCCAGCTTTTATATACTATTTGAGTAGGAAAAAGGAGTGATTAAAATATTAAAACTGGATTTTGTGATGATATATCAATTTCAGTACCAAAACACATTTTTATAGCAGCCCCAAGAAATTAGTAGTTTCAATATAAAATTTTGAAGTGTGTCAAACCATCGTTAAAATTTGCTGACATTTATCGAAATATGGCGCCAAATCTGGGATTCCGAAAAAAGTTCGAAACTATAACCGTTTTTTTCTTTTTTAATAATTCCTTGATATGTATCGTAAAAGATAGCATGAATTAAATTTCTGTCTAGCGTATTTTACTTTTAAAAGCTTTTAAATTGTTTTGAAGGCATATTTCTATCATTTGACAACGAAATAAAACAGAATTATACGCAGTCACGGAATTTTACTTATATCCTACACCGCAATGGTGTTTTCTTAACTTGCAACGGAGTATCTATCTATCTATATATATATTTCTCTTACACGGCGATAAAAAAAAGCCTCATTACAACTCCCCGAATGGCAACGCTAGAAAATAGACCAATAATTGCCGGTAAAAATGTCACATGCCAAATCTAGCTCAGATGGCTCAACATACAGCGCTTTTAAAAACGGAAACTGAAATAACCAGGGAGAGCATAAGCAAGGCAGAAGTCTTTGTCGATAGATCTGTATTTTAGTTTTTTGTCGAAAGCGTTTTTTTTTTTCCTTCACGAATTTATGTATTACGAATTTATTTGACAATTTTTGATTTATATCACGAATTTATTTGTTTTACTAGAATTTATTTGTTTATGCAGGTTTTTCCATTGCAATTTACTTATTTAATTTTTTAATAGATTTAATTACAACCGAAATTTTAACCTTTTTAAAGAGATATCAGTTTTAGAAATTTTATCTTAAGATTTTATA